TATTTACATTCTGAATGGTATATTTTACTGCAACTACAGTTGGTAGAGTCTTTCAAATTTAAAAGGTGCCTAACACAAATAAAAAGGAAATCTTAAAAATCGAGATCCTGAGACTCTGCTTTACTGGGTACCTAACTTCACATGCATGTTGCTTTTGACACCATTATTTTCCGTAGGTATATATATATTCTGAAATATCATTTTTGTTTAACTTTTCTCCTAGTCTCACTGGTTCATAACAGAGTTGTTTTATTCTTAAAACTGAAAAATTACTTAATTCCTACTTTATGTAAATGAAAAAAATAAAAATAAATTTAATTTTCATCCATCTTGATCAAAATACTCAAGTATTGGAGCCTGCTCTAAGATTCTCATACACTTTTTATTCACTGGATATTTCTCCATAACAGAGTTAACTCCAAGTTGTATGCTTTTTAGTTTAATTTTGTTCTCTCAGTGCACAGAAACTCCTGCTTTGATTTTGGATGTGCTTTGTGTCAATTTTTGTGGGTGAGGTTAAAACTTGGGTTCTGCTTTAACTCAGGCAGTAACTTGTTCATTTTGCAGTGAGAATTGTGCAGTTCTGTTTCTAGAACACTCTTTTCTTCCAAAGTCAACTCATAAATCTTCCCTTCTGACCATTTATTTCGTATGCGCTGGAATTTATCTGGTAATTTATATATACATTTATTTAGCATTTGAACTTAACATTCCCTGTGCTACGCTGTATTTATATCCAGGATTTTAAAAGGTCTTGGATACAGATGCTGCATGGAGAGTCCTCCTGCTGATGTGTTGCTCAAGTGAGGAGTCTCACAGGTTTACTCTGAGATTGTGCTTACTTGAGAAAGAGGGTGACTTTTCCCGGGTGTGTTCCATGGGCAGAGCACATTCTGCAGGCATCAAATGTCCGAGGTGTTGGGTTGGAGCTGGGATGAAGGTAATTCTGTCCCACTGTCCTTTCATGGTCACGATACACATGGAAATGATGTGATTTTATCAAAGTTCATATTACATGGTTGGCAACTGTGATTTTACGCAGGATTAGCACTTTTGACGTTGGTGTGATTACCGTCAGGGCTGTATTTATTTTCCTTCTGTCTTTGTATGAATTCCACTTACTTTGCTCAAACTCTATCCTGAATTTCTGCTTAGAGAAAATTGATGGCAGCAGCCCAATATTTATCTTGTATTGTGTATTAATAAATTAGCTGTGTGCATAATGAATACAATTTAATAAATAAGCACCTTTTAATTTTACCTTTGCAATAATATAGCAAACACAAACACAATATGGTTCAATAGAGAAAACTACGAGAAAAAACAGTTTTTCAAGACTGTCTTGAAACTTTTTTGTATACACACACAAAAATGCACACACCGTTTTTACATACTTATATATTGGAAATTTATTTTTTCAGTATAGCTTTTATAGAGCCTGTATATATACAAGATGTAGGGAAATTCTAAGTTCTATAATAGTAAAGGCTGAGTTAATTTGAAGTTAATCTGTTGAAAGAAGAGCATCTTACTAAACCTTCTAGAAAGTTTTTTAAAAAATAAAACAGCGTAATTCTTGAGACTGTTTTTCCGAGTTCATGCGGAGCCTAGGTGGAGTAACATCCTGAAGCAGGCATTCTGGATTTTTCTCCCGTTCTTAAAGAGATTATTCTTTTGTTAGAGAAGACGAGACCTTTTTGTTTCCGTGTGTATCAGCAACGATTAAGTCAACCCCTGAGTCGTGTTTTTAAAGCTATGCAGAGGTTATCTTGCTCTGATTAATAAAAGCAGTGCTTGCTATTGAAAAGATTACCTGCTCCAGCTGTTAATCAGAAGGACAAGCAAAGCTATCAGCTCCAGCCTTAGCCAACTTGCAAATCAGTAGTCAGGGCCCTGCTATTCTCTGACTGGCTTTAGCAGCACTTTGGATGTGGCAGAGCTCACAGAACAGCATTTACTGCAGCAGCAGCTGGGGTGAGCGAGGGCTGTCTCCTGCCTTAGCTCCAACAACCAAACCTGCTGGGATGGTGGCCTGGAAGCAGTTCCATTCCGCAAGTTAATCCAAGGACCTGGCCTTTCTTTGGAGCACAGAAAGATCCGATCTGTTTCCTGAAGAACGTAAATTGGCCACGCAAAGCTGGAGGAGCCGTGGGTGAGGCTGGTTCTGGAGTTTTACAGCAGAGAAGTGCAGATCAGGTCCTGGCGTGGAGAGAGATAAAAGTCTTAGACACAAAAAAGAGACAAAAAAATAGTTCAGAAAAAAGGCGAGTTTAGTAGAGGCAAACGAGAAGAGAGAAAGGAAAAGGCGCAGGCTCTTGTGCAGAGTGTGAATCATGGAGGGCGGTGACGCTGAGAACGGGGACCCTGGGCTTTCTGTGATAAAACACAGAAGGCTGGAACCAGCAAAGATAAAAAATCACAATATAGAGAGGTGGCATGTGTCAACAACCAAGACTTGCAAAGATGTGAATTATGGATGAAAGAAATATTTCTAGGTGTAGAAACAGTCAACAGAACTGAGTTATATTTCCAGTTCTTCAGTATTTATGTCCCTATTTTGGCCATGAGCTGTGAGGCTGTGTAATTCTGTCTGTGTGCCTCCTGGCTCCCAGCTGCACTCCTGCTGCAGAGCCCTCTTCCGTGGACTCTCACATTAAAGACGCAGTGCTTGTTTAGTTCTCCCAGTTTAGTGGAAAGTTGAGAAATGCGAGTCGGAAATGGAGCTTTTTGAATCAGGAGGATTTTTTATTTTTTGTTGGTCTTCCAAATCCAGCAGTGCCAGTGGCTGATCCTGTTTAGCCTGTCACTGGAATCATCTTGGCTCAGCTTCCACAAAAAGACTTTATTTTTGACAGCTTGGTTTTTCTGTTAGAATGAAGCTGGCTTGTGAGGCCGTTGTTGCAGAAGATGATGCTATTTCCTGGGTACTTTCATTAAAGGCTTTCAAAGTCCCTGCATTAGCTTTTCTGGCAGCCCAGAGATACACAGTGGAGCCACCAGCTCTGGTCACTTTGGTGTGTTGGGCTTTGTTTTTGACGCGAGGGCTGTGTGAGCACCCGAGGGGTGATGGTGCTCAGACGAGGCAGCCTGCAGGGGTGGTCTCAGAACTTCAGCTTTGCTCAGTGTGGAATGTAGATCTGTTCAAAGTGTGAATGTGGGTGGGTTTTGTCCTTGATATTGTAATGGAGAAGGGGAATTCTTGAGAGTGCCCCCCTAAATCTCATCAGCAAGCAGCGCGTTGGGGAACAGCTCATCTTCACTCATGTTATCTCTCTTCCATCAGTCACTGGGATGTGTTAGTTGTCTCCTGGGAGTGTGTCATCTGAAAGGGATCCAGTTGGTGTGCTCCAAGGCTAAACTAAAGCACAGAAAGTGAGGGGGTTTGGGAGAGCCACTGCAAAAGTGCATTTTTACCTAAAATAAATGAACACCGTGGGCGCAGCCTGGGTGTGAGCGGTGGGACGCAGCAGAGGCTGGCACAGGCTGTGCCTTCTGGCTGGTGGGCACCTCGTGTGTCCCAGGGATGTCTGGGGACCACGCTTTCCATGTCCTCCTCTGTCTGAGACAGCGCTGGTTGTGGCAGTGATGGGTCACCTGTGCAAAGCACCGTGCAAACACACAATCCCTGTTACATAAAATGAACATTACCTTTTGCGTTGTTTGTATTTTGGCAGAAGTTTATGTTCTGTTTTTTCCTCGCCAGTCTGGATACAGAAACAATTACTCTTTGGCTCTTTCAGAAGCCTTTTATGTATTTCTCAGCAGGCTCTGTTAGCCCAAAGGCTTTTTTTAGAGCTGCTATAATTTATCTTTTGACTTAAAGTAGAATATATTAAGAAAAGGCAATTTTCTCTCTTTTTACCTTTCCACTGATTGATCATAGAGTTTGCATAAAATGAATGTAACAAGGGAAACCTCATGTAGCATATCTGATATTTGTTACAAGAGGATGAATTGTAATCAGTCTTTATGAACCTGTGGTGTTGGTTTTTTTTTAGAGAACAGAAAGGATATTTGTCCCTTCTATTAAATGAGAGTTTATTGATACAAAAAGCAATGAAGTAGAAGACAGATCTGGAGTGTACCTGCATTATGTGTGCAAAAAATCTCTAGAGATATTTTGTGAAGCAATGCAAAAAAAATAGGCTCCTTTTTCTGGGAAGGGAGAAGAGTACCCAATATACTACTATGACTGTTTATATACTTAATTAATTCTTGAATAATTATTGTTCAGAGAACCCATTCTAAACTTATCTGGTCGCAAGGCTCACGCTCACTGTTTTGGAATCGCTGTGTTGATGTTTCAGGCTTCCCACACCATCGTAGAAAGCTTGGCTTCTTCCTTCTTAGGAGAAGTTTTATTTTTCAAGGGACATCACTGCTAGGATCTTATAAAACTACCATGAATCTTTTGTAATAACAGATAAAACATGCATTCTCCCAAATATATGTATTTTCCCAGAGGAATGAAAAATGTTTTGAAACTTGGGACATCTAGTTCCACTGTGCAGAGAGATGAACTGTGTCTTCCAGCAAGAGGAATATGAAGGACAGTGCTGACCTCACGGGTTCTCCCTGGTCATTCTCCATCATTTCTTGTGGCAGCAGAGTCCCGGTGCCCCAGCCTGGGGGCTCGGGAGGAGGCAGAGCAGAGCCCTCTGCCCCGGGGAGCCTGGCGTCCCGAGTCCTGCTGAGGGCAGGGGCTGGAGCAGCGTCTGTGTAACTCGGGAAACAAGCACTTTTGGCCGGTCCCTGAGCAATCTCAGACCCTCGTCACCAGCAGGTTAGCTCCTACCACGTGTGCCTTACTGACACGTGCAGGGACACCCCAACTGAAGGAGTGCATGGGGTTGTTTAAGTACCAAGTAGTTCATACACACTGCCCGATAAACGACTCAAGGGCTTAACAGCACAAAAATAACGAGTTGTCTCGCTCTCGCACAGCCCAGCCCAAGAGTTAAAGGCAAAACCTAATAAATGTTGTGTTTGTTTTGTTTTAGAACGCCAAGCGTGTACATCTATGGCCAGCCCCAGCGCCCTTCCCTCCAGCGTGGCCGGCATCAGCAAGGAGCTGATGGAGCTGCAGCACCTCATCCAGTTCCCCGAGGAGGTGGCCAGCATCCTGACGGAGCAGGAGCAGGACCTCTACCGCAAAGTGCTGCCCATCGACTACCTCTGCTTCCTCACCAGGGACCTGGGCAGCGCCGAGTGCCAGAGCAAGCTGTCCTCCATCAGAGCCTCCATCTCTGCTACTGTTCTGTCCTCCCCCAACGGGGAGCATAATGCTGTGGAAGATCTCGTGACGAGGTTTAATGAGGTAAGAGAAAACTTCTAAATAATTTTTAATGAGGGTTATTACCTGATTTGTGGGTCAGCTGTGTCTTTATCTCTCAGACCTGGATTTGGCTGGAATGACAAATTTTTGAAACCCAAGTTCAGGTGGCCAGGGGATTCAGCTCAGTAACTTCCACCGAGTTTGACAGCAGTTATGTGACCGATTTGCCCAGTCAGTTTGGAGAACTGCAGCCTCATCTTTTCCTGCACATTGTAAAGTAAACAGGAAGAAAAAAATCACAGACTTGTATTTCTTTGTATTTATACTGACAGTATGGGGTATACTTTCAGTCAGTTTATTATTTTGTTCAGGAGCTGGAGTTTTATTTATTTGTTTTGGGTTTTTGTAGACTAAGCATGATCTTAGGAGTCAGCACAGAAGTATTATAAACTAGAAGTTCCTGTATTCTGCATAATGTAACTACACTAATCTGCACTATTTATTTATGTATTTAATCACTCTGTGTGTTTTGAATGTTGTTATACAAAGAAGCATCATTTGGCAGGACACACTTCCATAATCGTGAGGTCTTCACTAAGGTTTTTCTCTATTTTTAGTACAGTGATCTTCTGATGAGTGGGACCCAGCAGAGGCTGGCACAGGCTGTGCCTTCTGGCTGGTGGGCACCTCCTGTGTCCCAGGGACGTCTGGGGACCACGCTTTCCATGTCCTCCTCTGTCTGAGACAGCGCTGGTTGTGGCAGTGATGGGTCACCTGTGCAAAGCACCGTGCAAACACACAATCCCTGTTACATAAAATGAACATTACCTTTTGCGTTGTTTGTATTTTGGCAGAAGTTTATGTTCTGTTTTTTCCTCGCCAGTCTGGATACAGAAACAATTACTCTTTGGCTCTTTCAGAAGCCTTTTATGTATTTCTCAGCAGGCTCTGTTAGCCCAAAGGCTTTTTTTAGAGCTGCTATAATTTATCTTTTGACTTAAAGTAGAATATATTAAGAAAAGGCAATTTTCTCTCTTTTTACCTTTCCACTGATTGATCATAGAGTTTGCATAAAATGAATGTAACAAGGGAAACCTCATGTAGCATATCTGATATTTGTTACAAGAGGATGAATTGTAATCAGTCTTTATGAACCTGTGGTGTTGGTTTTTTTTTAGAGAACAGAAAGGATATTTGTCCCTTCTATTAAATGAGAGTTTATTGATACAAAAAGCAATGAAGTAGAAGACAGATCTGGAGTGTACCTGCATTATGTGTGCAAAAAATCTCTAGAGATATTTTGTGAAGCAATGCAAAAAAAATAGGCTCCTTTTTCTGGGAAGGGAGAAGAGTACCCAATATACTACTATGACTGTTTATATACTTAATTAATTCTTGAATAATTATTGTTCAGAGAACCCATTCTAAACTTATCTGGTCGCAAGGCTCACGCTCACTGTTTTGGAATCGCTGTGTTGATGTTTCAGGCTTCCCACACCATCGTAGAAAGCTTGGCTTCTTCCTTCTTAGGAGAAGTTTTATTTTTCAAGGGACATCACTGCTAGGATCTTATAAAACTACCATGAATCTTTTGTAATAACAGATAAAACATGCATTCTCCCAAATATATGTATTTTCCCAGAGGAATGAAAAATGTTTTGAAACTTGGGACATCTAGTTCCACTGTGCAGAGAGATGAACTGTGTCTTCCAGCAAGAGGAATATGAAGGACAGTGCTGACCTCACGGGTTCTCCCTGGTCATTCTCCATCATTTCTTGTGGCAGCAGAGTCCCGGTGCCCCAGCCTGGGGGCTCGGGAGGAGGCAGAGCAGAGCCCTCTGCCCCGGGGAGCCTGGCGTCCCGAGTCCTGCTGAGGGCAGGGGCTGGAGCAGTGTTTGTGTAACTCGGGAAACAAGCACTTTTGGCCGGTCCCTGAGCAATCTCAGACCCTCGTCACCAGCAGGTTAGCTCCTACCACGTGTGCCTTACTGACACGTGCAGGGACACCCCAACTGAAGGAGTGCATGGGGTTGTTTAAGTACCAAGTAGTTCATACACACTGCCCGATAAACGACTCAAGGGCTTAACAGCACAAAAATAACGAGTTGTCTGGCTTTCGCACAGCCCAGCCCAAGAGTTAAAGGCAAAACCTAATAAATGTTGTGTTTGTTTTGTTTTAGAACGCCAAGCGTGTACATCTATGGCCAGCCCCAGCGCCCTTCCCTCCAGCGTGGCCGGCATCAGCAAGGAGCTGATGGAGCTGCAGCACCTCATCCAGTTCCCCGAGGAGGTGGCCAGCATCCTGACGGAGCAGGAGCAGGACCTCTACCGCAAAGTGCTGCCCATCGACTACCTCTGCTTCCTCACCAGGGACCTGGGCAGCGCCGAGTGCCAGAGCAAGCTGTCCTCCATCAGAGCCTCCATCTCTGCTACTGTTCTGTCCTCCCCCAACGGGGAGCATAATGCTGTGGAAGATCTCGTGACGAGGTTTAATGAGGTAAGAGAAAACTTCTAAATCATTTTTAATGAGGGTTATTACCTGATTTGTGGGTCAGCTGTGTCTTTATCTCTCAGACCTGGATTTGGCTGGAATGACAAATTTTTGAAACCCAAGTTCAGGTGGCCAGGGGATTCAGCTCAGTAACTTCCACCGAGTTTGACAGCAGTTATGTGACCGATTTGCCCAGTCAGTTTGGAGAACTGCAGCCTCATCTTTTCCTGCACATTGTAAAGTAAACAGGAAGAAAAAAATCACAGACTTGTATTTCTTTGTATTTATACTGACAGTATGGGGTATACTTTCAGTCAGTTTATTATTTTGTTCAGGAGCTGGAGTTTTATTTATTTGTTTTGGGTTTTTGTAGACTAAGCATGATCTTAGGAGTCAGCACAGAAGTATTATAAACTAGAAGTTCCTGTATTCTGCATAATGTAACTACACTAATCTGCACTATTTATTTATGTATTTAATCACTCTGTGTGTTTTGAATGTTGTTATACAAAGAAGCATCATTTGGCAGGACACACTTCCATAATCGTGAGGTCTTCACTAAGGTTTTTCTCTATTTTTAGTACAGTGATCTTCTGATGAGTTTAATAGAAAACTGAGCAAGGATGAGAAAAGTGTAAAAAAAATTTCCAAATTCCACCCTAAAAACCCAACCCAAAACAAACCAACCAAAAAAAAAACCCAAACCCTAAATAAAGGCTCAGGTCATTGCTACAGAAGAATGGAGCAATTGCTTTCTTCCTTTCTTGTGTGCACCATATGCAATGTTAGCAGTTTCTAGAGTCATAGAAGAGGAATAATACCCCCACGGCGAGGGCAGTGGGGAGAGGCTGCGGTGGCCAAGCTCCAGTGGGACCTGCTGGGGCACGGGGTGCTTTGGTGGGACCTTCTGCAGTCACCTGGGCGAGCTGGATTGCCCATCACGTGTCCTGCCACTGAACGGCCACGGGACTTGTCAGAAATGGCTGAGACTGTTCCACGTCAATGAGAATTTTACCATTAGAGTTGCCTTTTGGTAAAATAGTCAACGTCATCTTTCAGTATTAGAGGTTTGTGTCTGCAGGTTTTGTAGCCTACATTGCTTGTTTGGTAGCACTGCAGGACAACTTTTCATATAGTTTGAATTAGTTCCTGGCTATCTGGTGCATAGATTACATAACACTTAGTGCAGTGGATTATTTTAAGTATAATTTGGAATAACTTTTTTTAAACATAGATGTTATATGTTTAAATGGAGTTATTGTACAATATTTCCCGCTTGTAATAAATCACTGTTTGCTCTCTCTTACGGAGCAGTCTGAGTTGCCACGGCCAACCACAAGCGTGAGCTTTCAAAATGGCTTTGTTTATAAATGGCAAGAAAATTCTTGCACGAAGAGTCATGCTTTTCTTGGCAAAAGTCAGTGAGCACTTGCTGATTGTTTTTGGCATTGCCTATAGAAATACTGAAGTGTATTTATAATGTGGGAGCCAGAATGACTTTTGGGATAACAAGCTCCTGATACATAATGGGAAAAAAATCATTTCATGCCATTGTTCTGTTAAATGAGCAATTACAGTAGATAGAGGATTTTTCATAAAGCAAGATGCTTTTTAGTAATTTTTCTGACACGCACTACGTTGTTCATAAGGAATGCTTTATAAAACTTCTCTAAAATGATAGTCAATATTTGCTGTTTTCTTACACAAGGGAACTTATTTCATAGAAAAAATACTGACATTTTCGTGGAAGCTTAGATTGAGTGACAGCTGCAGGAGTATTAGAAAATAAATTAAAAATTGAAAATAACGAAGATTAAAATATTTTCAAATTATTCAAGTTTCTTTTAAAGAGTGATTTTAAGTGAAAAATAGAGGGGAAAGAATAGTCGTATTGAGGTAAATTTCAGTAGTATTATTTACTGTTTAAATTGCAGTAACTCCCAGAACCCCCCGTTGTTGGCTGAAGGTGGGACTCCCCAGGACTGCAGGGAGCCGGGGGGGGACGTCCTGTGGTTCCCTTGTCCCTTGGACAGGTTTGCTGTTACAATCCTGGTGTTTCCTGGGTGTGGATGGTTTAAATGCCGTTACTGGTGACGTGCACAGAGTATGAATATCTGTGATGGTTTGTGTCAGCCGTGCTGGTTCCTGCTGGCTGGGGGTGCTGGCTGTGAGGGACGGCACGTCGAGGGGTGCAAGGGGTACGGGAGAGATGGTGCTGATGGGGGGTCAGCCCGGGGTGAGGGCATGGGAATGGACTGTGGAGATTTGCAGAGCTCCATCAGAAACCAGTTGCCCTCTGATTAGGGCTAATTGGTAGGTAAAATTGGTACTAGGAGACAATTCACACAGCTGTCTTTCCTTGTCATGGGTTTCCAAGAATCCGTTTATTCCCTCCAAGGTGGCTGCCACGACAAGAGCTTCCGCACCCAGCGGCTTGTTTCAAAAATATCTTTTGAGAAAGGTCAGTCATGAATGACCTGCTTGAATCCCACAAAATTGGATGGATTCGGTTTTTATTTACGGTGAAGATTTTGGGCTACACGCGTTTGGT